GCAGTTGTTAAATTAGTGACACGGTTGTTAAGTGAATTTGGCTTCCCCCATTGACTTTGCTTGTCAGAGGTTTCAAAAGGGGATCACGGGACCCCTGGGACTCTGCAACCGTCATAAATATGAAGCAGTTACGAAGCGTCTGAATTTGGATCACATGACGGTGGGGAGGCTGCAACGGTCATAAGTGTGAAAAAGGGTCCTAAGTCGCTTTTTTTCAGTACCGTTGTAACTTTGAATGTTCAACTAAGGGAACTGTTGTAAATCAGGGATTATCTGTAGATGAGATTGCAGGAAGAACAATTGTAACCAGCAATTGGGAGGGAGGGAGAAAGGGAAGGAGAAAGGGAGGAAAAAAAGGGAAAAAGTAGAGAGGGAGGGAAGAAGGAAGGGGGAAAGGAGGAAAAAAAAGGAAAAAGGGAGGCATAAAGGAAATATAGAGGATGGAAGGATGGAAGGAAAAAGAGAAGGAGGGAGGGAGGGAGGAAGACAGGAGGGAAGGAAGGAAATAGGATGGGAAGGAGGGAGGGAGGAATGAAGGAAGACAGGACGGAAGGAGGGAAGGAAATAGCATAGGAGGAAGGAAGAAAGCAAGCAAGGAAGGAAGCCAGGAAAGAAGGAAGGAAAAGGGGAATGAGTGACTGAATGAGGAAGGGAGGAAGGGAGGAAAAGAGGAGGGAGGAAGCAGGAAGGAAGCTAAAAAAGAAAAAGGGAGGGAGGGAGGGAGGAAGACAGGAAGGAAGGAATGAAGGAAATAGCTTGGGAGGGAGGGAGGGAGAGAGGAAGACAGGAGGGAAGGAAGCAAGGAAGGAAGCCAGGAAAGAAGGAAGGAAAAGGGGAATGAGTGAGTGACTGAATGAGGAAGGGAGGAAGGGAGGGAAAGAGGAGGGAGGGAAGCAGGAAGGAAGCTAAAAAAGAAAAAGGGAGGGAGGGAGGGAGGAAGACAGGAGGGAAGGAAAGAAGAAAGGAAGGAAGGAAGGAAGACAGGAAGGAAGGAATGAAGGAAATAGCATGGGAGGGAGGGAGGGAGAGAGGAAGACAGGAGGGAAGGAAGAAGCAAGGAAGGAAGCCAGGAAAGAAGGAAGGAAAAGGGGAATGAGTGAGTGACTGAATGAGGAAGGGAGGAAGGGAGGAAAAGAGGAGGGAGGGAAGCAGGAAGGAAGCTAAAAAAGAAGGAGGGAAGGAAGGAAGGAAGGAAGGAAGGAAGGAAGGAAGGAAGGAAGGAAGGAAGGAAGGAAGGGATGAGGGATAAATAGGTAAGCTAAGGGAGGGAGGAGGCGGAATGGATGGAATTGGGATTCAGCCCAAGGCTTCCAGCCCCTTTCACCGTCCAAACAAAGAACTCCGAGGAGCTGCCAGCTGTTGCATTCATGCGGACGTCTCTCTCCTCTGGCGTCTCAGACATGTCCTCTTCTGGCGGTGCACTGAGTGCGGCTGTGGGATTGTGTGCCTGTCGGAGAGAGACCGAACCTCTTTGCACAAACATCTGCTCTTCTCCCAGGAAAGCCGGCCTGCGACTCCCCATCGGAACCTCCGGCTGCACAACTCGTAAAGAGGAGTATTTCAGTGGTGGGGGCAGAGCCGGGACCCCCAGCGAGACCCCGAGTAGCAGGGACGTGTCTTGAACCCAGTGCCTCTTTCTTTCCTGCTCCCAGTGGGCAAGTGTTCCCAGTGTTTCAGGTGCTCAGGTGCGCCACGAAGGGGTTCAACAGTTAAAGAGAGGGAGCTGGCTGAATTTCATTTGTTCGATCGATCGATCGATCGAGTAAATTTACACGCCATCTATCTCAGGGGTGAAATCCAAAATTTTTCCCTATCGGTTCTGTGGGCGTGGCTTGGTGGGCGTGGCAGGGGAAGGATATTGCAAAATCTCCATTCCCAACCCACTTCTGGGGGAAGGATACTGCAAAATCTCCATTTCCCTCCCCTCCTGGGGCCAGCCAGAGATGGTATTTGCCGGTTCGCCTAACTACTCAAATTTTCCGCTACAGGTTCTTCAGAACCTGTTAGAACCTGCTGGATTTCACCCCTGATCCATCTCCATTGCCTGAGATGAGTGCAGGGGTGGGGGTGGGGTGGGAGACAGAGATACCGAAAGAAGGATGCATTCCCAAGCCCCCACCCCCACCCCAAACCAGCGTGGCACTTCCTGTCTGCAAAAGGAGAGGGGTTTCTATGCACGGGGGGGGGGGCTCGGAGGCGTGCATGTATTGCGAGAACGGGCAACATCTGTGGGGGTTTTAGCAAGCGCGGCCAAGGGGGCTGTTAGATCTGACAGACACGAATGGCACGGGTTTTATAGGCCCATCTGGTTAAGAGTTTCACGTACTGACGGAGGTCCATCGAGGCGGTCGCTAAAAGCAACATAAAGGAAGTATCTTTGCAGCCTTGAAGGACAGACGGGGCTAGCTATAATCCCCCCCATCTGCCCCCCCCCCCAATATCTGTTGCCATCCCAATGCTGTCCGGCTGAGTTTTAACAGAATACAGGTCGTCCTCGACTTACGACAGTTCACTTAGTGTGTAAGAAGCTTGACTTAGTTGAAAAAGCTAAGCAGTTGGCGGGACTGGTTAGGAGTTGGATGGAGACCACCTGAAGCCTCCTCTCCCCGAGCTACAAAGCAGCCTCGGAAGTCTGCTCTGCTCCCAGGAGAAGCCAAGGGTCAGTCAATTCCCCGGGGCAGCGGCCAAAAAGCCTCCATCGGTGTGACTGTGAGGTCCCCGCAAGTTGCACCGCCGGACTATCATTTCCGGATAGGTGTTGTGATGGCCAAGAATGATGTTTCCCCTTGGCTTGATGGAAGCCTGTTGGCCAGGGATGATGTGACAGCGAGCCAGCTGTGAAAACACAACAACACAGCTGCAGGAAGCAGTTTTTCCCCTTTCCCTGGCCTGCCCCCTCCTCCTTTTTATTTCCCTTCTCCGAATACATACAGATAGTCCTCGAATTATGACAGTTTGTTTTTGATTTTTGCTTTCCCTGTCCACAGAACAGGGGAGGTGGGTATCCGGTTTTCTACAAAAAACAACAACACACAACCGTCTGTTTGAAGGGTTGGTCTTTTGAGATATCTTACGCTAAAGAAGAAAAAAATAGCACATGCCCTCTGGAAGAGGATCGACTGAGAGAGGCTGGATCCATTCCCATCCAAGAAGGGGTAAAAGGGATATTTGAATCCGAAGAATCTACGATTCCTCCCACTGTCCTCACCACTTTCTATGGAGCAGCCGTGTCAAACTCAAGGCCTGTGGGCCAGATCTGACCCGTGGGGTGCTTAAATCTGACCCACGGGCCATCCTGGAAATAGCAAAGGATCAGCCTGCAATGCCCCTTGCAGCCAAATGGGTCATGGGGGGTCACATGCAGTGGTGGGATCCAGCCAGTTCGCACCCCTTCGGGAGAACCGGTTGTTAACTTTCTGAGCAGTTTGGCAAATTGGTTGTTGGAAGAAATCATTAGGGCAGAGAACGGGTTGTTAAATTACTTGAATCCCACTGGTCACGTGTGCCTCCCCGCACCCCATTTTAGCCGGCAGTGTCCTGTAGGAGGCATCCATCCCATCCCCCCCACACCGGTCCACGGAGAAGAACTACAATGCTGATCCGGCCCTCGAAGAAATCCAGTTTGAGACCCCTGCTATAGAGGGACGACTGAGAGCATCCTCTCATATGGCATAATTGTCTGGTTTGGAAGCATTCCTGCTTCAGAGAGGAAGGCGGCGCAGAGAGTGGTGAGGACAGCAGAAAAGATTATTGGAAGTTCACTTCCTTCTATCCAGGATGTGGCATATAAGCGATGCTTGAACATGGTCTGCAGGATTGCCGGGGATGCTACTCGTCCTCTTCCCGACCTGGCTGGGGAATTTGGGAGTTGAAGTCCGCACAGGGTTGTAAGACACTCATCTAGAGTGCAGAGGCAACTTTGGGCCTGTTGGGAAACTGAGAAAAGCTTCTGTGTCTGGCAGATGGTGGGCAAAGAGGCTTGAGATGGAACCAGTATGGAACTTCCTTCCTTCTTTCCTTCCTTCCCTTTTCCCATTTCTTTCTTTCTTTCTTTCTTTCTTTCTTTCTTTCTTTCTTTCTTTCTTTCTTTCTTTCTTTCTTTCTTTCTTTCTTTCTTTTTCTTTCCTTCCTTCCTTTTTCTTTCTCTTTCATTCTTTCTTTCTTTCCTTCCTTCCTTTCTTCTTTCTTTCTCTTCTTCTTCTTTCTTCTTCTCCTCCTCCTTCTCCCCTCCCTCCCTCCCTTCTCTTCCCTCCTCTCCCCTCCCTCTGTAACCCATGTAGGAAAAAGAAAGGCTGCCTGCATTTCTGTGGTAGAGCAACTGAGCCTTTACTTGGGTCTGTCCATGCTCTCTTCTTCACAGGACCCTCAATCCTCCACTCAGTGCTGTAACCCTGATCCCCCTTGTATGGGACCAGCCCTGGATTCTGAAGGGCAGGCCAAGTGTGTGGGTTCCAGCCTGCCCCTTGGCTTGATCCAGCAGAATCTTCTCAGGAAAAGCTCTCGGCGTCATCCTCCCCCCACCCCCCAAAGGATTCCCCTACCAGAAGAGAGATAAACAGGTTAGACTAGAGCTTATGAAACAAAGTCTCTCTTATTTTCTAACCCAGTTTTTCTTAACCTTGGCAACTGCAGAAAAACCACCATGGTCTGTCATAGATTTCACCTGGATTTAGGTGGTCTCACGGATAGCCTTTCTCGGCTTCCAATGGATCAGGCTTGAGATAATATTATGTAGAAGAAACAGCTCTCTGGGGTAACAGAATTTACAGAATAACAAGAGTTGGAAGGGACCTTGGAGGTCATCTAGTCCAGCCTCCCTGCTAGAGCGTTGAGCGGGAATCATAGAATCCTAGAACCGGAAGGGACCTTGGAGGTCATCTAATCCAGCCCTCTGACCAAGGCAGGAGTCTTTACACCAATCCCAGACCTTTTAAAAGGACAAAATGCTTTTGGGCTCCCCGAGACAGGAATCAGCTGCCAATTAAAAGAGGGACTTCCTGCAGGAGGCAATTAAAGTGGTATATTGATATATTCTAGGGCTTTTTCCTAAGAAATTGCAATAATGGTTCATTTACATGTGCTTACATTGGAAAAAAAATAATAATAATAACAGTGCAGCCAGGAGGTTTAACCGACATTGGGTATCGTACAACAGGACGTTATCACAGGACATACAATGAAGAGCAGAAAGAAAGAAAGAAAGAAAGAATCAAAGGGAAACGGAGGAGAGAAAGGAAGACCAGGGAAAACATGAGACAAAGATAAATACACCGCGAACAGAACCTGGCCAGACAGATTAGGATCCCAACTTTTTTGTTGTTGTTGTCTCCGCAGTCTTTATTTACAGATATTCACGCCCCCCTCCAGCCCCCCCCCCACTTTTTGCTGCTCGGAAATAAGGCTAGAAAAATAATGCAAGAGGCGGGGGGAAAGGAAACCCCAGGGATTTGCCGAGCTCGGTGGTTGCTTTCAATGGGACTGCAAAAGCATCCCAGCTGGAATTGGGGGTTTTTCCCCGCCCCCCCTGCCGCCCCCCCTCCGCTCGCTTGGATCTCACTGCCTATTTTCTCTTTGCTGTTGTTGTTTTGCCAAACGAAAAGAGAAAGAGACAAAGTGGAGAAGGCATGACAGAGAATTGGTTGCGGTCGGTACAAAATTGCTCTCTCTCCCTTTCTCTCTTTTTTTGGTTTTAAAAAAGAACAGCGGGATGAAAAAATTATTATTATTATTATTATTATTATTATATTTTTTAAAAAGCTTTGGAAAGTTTGGAAAGGGCTACGGATCGTTTTTGAGGGGTGGAGGTGGGTGGGGGATGAAAGAATGTAAAAAAAAGTGGAAAGTGGAAAAGAGAAAGGAGGCCTTTTATGATGGCTGCTGTTGCTTAAATGCCTGACTCTTTTGTAAACCTCGAGGGAAAAAAATGGGATTTTCGGCCGCTTCCTCGATTTGCAACAGTTCATTTAGTGACCGTTCAAAGTTACAACGGCGCTGGAAAAAAAAAAGGAACGATGATTGTTTTTCACACATATGAGACTGTGGCAGCATTCCCCTGGTCACGTGATCAAAACTCAGAACGCTTGGCAACGGGCTCCTATTTATGACGGTCGCGGCGTTCTTGGGGGGGGTGTCACGTGATTCCCCCCCCTTTGACGACCTCCTGACAAAGTCGATGGGGAGATTATAGATTCACTTAACAACCGTGGGACTGACTTATCAGCTGCCGTGATTCGCTTAACCACTGGGTCAAGCGAGGTCGTAAAATGAGGCAAAACTCGCTTAGCAACAGAAGGCTCCCATATTTGGGGCTCCGTTGTGGTAGTAAGTCGAGGACTATCTGTAAGAAAGACAAGAATAGAATAGAATAGAATAGAATAGAATAGAATAGAATAGAATAGAATAGAATAGAATAGAATAGAATAGAAAATATGGAATGGAATAGAATAGAATAGAATAGAATAGAATAGAATAGAATAGAATAGAATAGAATAGAATAGAATAGAATAGAATAGAATAGAATAGAAGAGTCGGAAGGGACCTTAGAGGTCTTCTAGTCCAACCCCCTGCTTAGGCAGGAAACCCTACACCAATTCAGACAAATGGTTGCCCAACCTCTTCTTAAGAGAAAGGCCTGGAAAATTGGGAGCAGCTGAAGGTGGCTGCAGACAAGCCAACTTTTGGCCAGGATGAAGTGGGTGGGTGGGTGGTGCTTGGGGTAGACCTAATCCAAGCCAGCTTGCTTTGCAAGGCAGTTCCTGGGAGGAGCCAGGAGTCCTGGGGAGGGGGGATAGGTGAGAGGGCTGACGCTTGGAGCCTGGTTTGCATGGGGGTCTTTTCCTTTGGGTGGGTGGGGGAGACCCCCAAGCTTTTAAGTAAAGCAAACCTGCTCGGAATTGGAGACCCCTCCCTCTTGGCCATGAGCAAGTCTACCTGAGTGAGGGACCCTGCCTGGGCGAGGGTCTCCCTCGGTCTGTTTGTGATCCTTCAACCAGAGGGGGACGGGATGGCCAAAGGACCCCCTTAATGGAAGGAAGATGGTGGGGCTCCCACCCCTTTTCAAGGTCTCTTCCTCCCTGGTTGTCTCCTCCTCTTTAAGGAAGGAGCCCCTCCCCAAATCCAGAGTTGTAGGTCTCCAAGGCATCGGTCACCCTCCTTCGGCCCCGATGCAGCCTGGGCCGAAGAGAAGGGATCTTGTGGGATGGGTCCAACCAATAACGTGGAAGTCACCAGGGATGAGGAGAATTCGGGAGCCAGGTCTTGCGCCCGGGGCTCAGGCGTCCATTTGAGGGTCTCGAAAGTCCAAGTGCCAGTCAGTTTGCGTTGTCTTCCTCCCGTCCCTGATTCACATGGGTGGGACAATAAGCCCCGACAGGCCTGGAAAACACAAGAAAGTCTGAATCAACCCTAGAGAAGTTCAGTTGGCCGTATTATAAAGACACCATCACAGAATAACACCCACAACCTCTGGTGGCAAGTAGTTCCACTGGTCAACTGTTGTTGAGGAGCAATGCAGAAATGCATGGTTCTTGATTCTCTGGGTGTAATTCAACATAAAATAACAGAGTTGGAAGGCACCTTGGAGGTCTTCTAGCCCACCCCCCCCTGTTCAGGCGGGAATTCCTCTACCATTTCAGACAAATAGTTGTCCAACCTCTTCTTAAAAACTTCCAGTGTTGGAGCATTCACGACTTCTGGAGGCAAGTAGTTCCGCTGGTTAATTGTTCTCGCTGTCAGGATGTTTCTCCTTAGTTCTAAGTTGCTTCTCTCCTTGATGAGTTTCTACCCATCACATCTCGTCCTACTCTCAGGTGTCAGGTTTCGACACCTGCAGCTTGAAGTGCTGACATCAGGTGCTTTGGAGAATAAATTGGCCCCCTCTTCTCTGTGACTGCCCCATAAATATTGGAAGACTGCCGTCATCTCATCCCTAGTCGTTCAAATCTGGTCGTTGCAGAGTTTAGGAGGTAATGATGACAATGTTTGACTTACGATTTTGGATTCTTAAAAGTTAGAAAATAGAATAATGTCTCTTTGACTTTTGGGGAGGGTGTCCAACCCAGGAAACCAGCCTGCCATGTTGTGGGACATCATCACCCTTTGAGGACAACTTCTGAAGGAAAGCCGTTCCACTGATTACTTGTTCTAATTGTGATTGATAATTGATAATTTCTCCTCATTTCTAGGTTGCTTCTCTCCTTAATTAGCTTCCATCCGTTGCTTCTTGTCCTGCCTTCAGGTGCTTTGGAAAACAGGTGGACCCCCTCTTCTTTGGGGCAGCCCCTCAAATATTGGAGGACTGCTATCATGTCCCCCCTAGTCCTTCTTTTCATTAAACTGGACACACCCAGTTCCAAAGGAGATATACCATCATGACTCTGGAGTTATATTGATCTTCATGAGCCTGGCCCCTAACCCATAAATTTGCACACAAGACTGTCCAGGTTCTGTCCCAATGGTGCTTTTTCCAAAAGACAACTGGACTTCCTTGTTTTATTTTTTGAAAACGTTTTGCTTCTCATCCAAGAAGCTTCTTCAGTTCTTCTCCAGTTGGACCCAAAGAAGCTTCTTGGATGAGAATCAAAAGATCTTCAAGGGGAAAAAAAAAACAACCCCAAAGAAAGTCCAGTTGTGTGTTGGAAAAGCACTTTTGGGATGACGCTGACCTGGAGGATTTGAGAATCTCTGCAGGTTCTCTTTAACCTCGATTGAACCTAGGTTTGTGGAGATCACTTTTGGCACAATGTCCTCAAAGGGTGATGATGTCCCACAACATGGCAGGCTGGTTTCCTGGGTTGGACACACCTCCCCAAAATTCAAAGAGAACTTCTCCATTTTGGCTGCGAATGCTTCTTCTGGACGCTGCACCACATCTATTATTATTATTATTATTATTATTATTATTATTATTATTATTATTATTATTATTATTATTATTAGTTAATCTTTAGTGAGATTCACAGCCTTTGAGGCTGGTTAATAGCTCAGCAGCTCGAGTCCTAACCAAGGACCTAGGAACTGTTAAGGTATCGTCGGAGGATGTAAGCTGTTCCGAGTAAGGTGGTTATTATTATTATTATTATTATTATTATTATTATTATTATTATTATTATTATTATTATTATTATTTAATCTTTAGAGAGATTCACAGCCTTTGAGGCTGGTTAATAGCTCAGCAGCTCGAGTCCTAACCAAGGACCTAGGAACTGTTAAGGTATCGTCGGAGGATGTAAGTTGTTCCAAGTAGGGTGGTTGTTGTTATTATTATTATTATTATTATTATTATTATTATTATTATTATTATTATTATTATTATTATTTAATCTTTAGAGAGATTCACAGCCTTTGAGGCTGGTTAATAGCTCAGCAGCTCGAGTCCTAACCAAGGACCTAGGAACTGTTAAGGTATCGTCGGAGGATGTAAGTTGTTCCAAGTAGGGTGGTTGTTGTTATTATTATTATTATTATTATTATTATTATTATTATTATTATTATTATTATTATTTAATCTTTAGAGAGATTCACAGCCTTTGAGGCTGGTTAATAGCTCAGCAGCTCGAGTCCTAACCAAGGACCTAGGAACTGTTAAGGTATCGTCGGAGGATGTAAGTTGTTCCAAGTAGGGTGGTTGTTGTTATTATTATTATTATTATTATTATTATTATTATTATTATTATTATTATTATTATTATTATTGGTTAATCTTTAGTGAGATTCACAGCCTTTGAGGCTGGTTAATAGCTCAGCAGCTCGAGTCCTAACCAAGGACCTAGGAACTGTTAAGGTATCGTCGGAGGATGTAAGCTGTTCCGAGTAAGGTGGTTTTTTGTAGAGTCAAAATGTTCAAGTCCGGCAAATTTAGAATTTCTAAATAGCGGGGTAGCCCTTTGGGTATTGCTCCAAGGGCTCCAGTTACAATCGGGACAACACACGATTTCTTTTTCCACAGTCGCTCAACTTCAATTTGCAAGTCCCGGTACTTTGTGATTTCTTCTTGCTGCTTATCTTCAATCCGTGCATCACCAGGTATTGCAATGTCAATGAACCACACTTTTTTCTTTTCAACTATTGTTATGTCAGGTGTGTTGTGGACCAAGTGCCTGTCAGTCTGAATCCTGAAGTCCCACAAGATCTTGTTATAATAATAATATTATGTAATATTATTATGTATGATGATGATGATGATGATGATGATGATGATGATGTTGTTTTGCAAGTACATCCAGTGTATCAGAGTCAAATGCCTTGTGTGTTTAACCACACGGCCAAATGAAGTATTCTATTCCATTTTGTTCTGTCCTCGGTCTGTCTGTGGAGATTCTCCATCATCCAAGCTCAGGGTTGTCCCAAATGTCCTTTTTGAAAAGGCAACTGGATTATTATTATTTTTCCCCTTGAGGAAGAAGACGGAGACGTTTCCGTTCTCGTCTCATCCAAGAAGCGATGAAGCCTCTTGGATGAGAAGTGAAACGTTTTCCTTCTTTCCCCCGAAGGAGAAAAAAAAAAATCGTCCAGTGGCCTTTTGAAAAAAGCCGCTTTGAGAAATCTGTTCTCTCTTCTGCCTAGCTCAGTCTGGTCTCCGTTATTCCATTCCATTATTACAAAAGCGCTGCTTTGCAGGCATGGCCCATAAAAAATGAGGAGGCGATTGGATTGCATCCTTGAGGCCATTAATTTCTCATTTTGGACCGCATCCTGCAGTCATTCCTGGCTGTCTTTGTGGGATTTAAAAGTCATAGAAGCATAGAAGCCTAGGGATGGAAGGGGCCTCAGAGGTCTTCTAGTCCAACCCTCTGCTCAAAGCAGGAGCCTCACACCATCGCAGTCAAATGTTTGTCCATACCTCTGCATACATAGTTACATCCACCTAAGTATCTACCCTCATCCTGGTGGAGAATGCAGGTGCTTATGAGGCTGTTGCAGAGGAGTAATTCAAGGTGGGAGGAGCAGCGGAGAAAGAGAGAGACGGGGGGAGCGAAGAAGGCAAAGCAGCGGAAGGAGAGAAGGAACATACTGTGATTAAGAGTAAGCCAATCCTTGGAGTGACCGAGAGGCGGTTTGAAACTTGTCTGCAGAATCCTCAAAGGGTTGGTCTGGTTGGTGGGTTCGAGCAGGCAGCGAGGGAGGGAGGGAGGGAGGGAAGGGAGAAAGGACGGAAGGAGAAAGAGGAAAAAGGAAGGAAGGGTGACAGATGAAACAGAGGGAGAGAGGGAGGAAAAAGAAAAAGGAGAGGAGAGGGAGGAAGGGAGGGAGGGAGGGGAAAGAGAGAAGGTGGAAGAAAAGAAGGAGAGGAGGGAGGGAGGGGAAAGAGAAAAAGGAGGAAGGATGAGACAGATGAAAGAGAGGAAGGGAGGGAGGAAAGTGGGAGGGAGGGAGGAAGGGAAGGAAGGAAAAAGAAAAAGGAAAGGAGGGAGGGAGGGGTGGAGGGAGGAAGAAAGGAAAGAGAAAGAAAAAGGGAGGGAGGGGAAGAGAAAGGAAAAGGAAGGAAGGAAAGGGAAGGAGGAAGGGGAAAGAGAAAAAGGAAGGAAGGACGAGACAGATGAAAGAGAGAGGAAGGGAGGGAGGAAAGCGGGAGGGAGGAAGGAAGGGAAGGAGGAGGAAGGAAGAAAAAAGAAAAAGGAAAGGAGAGAGGAAGGAAGGATAAAATAGAGGAAAGGAGAGAGGGAGGAAAAGGCAAGAGAGAGAAAGGGAGGGAGGGAGGAAGGAAGGAAGGAAAAAGCAAGAAAAGAGGAAGGCCAAGACATAAAAATAAAAAGAGAGTTAGAGAAGCACAAAAAACTGCAGTAAAGATACACTTGATATAAGCTCCCTGATTCCTCTCCATAAAACACTTTTATCCTGGATTTAGACAGGTAGCGACCAAAGAGCCCCCAGGAGCTTCTGAGTACTGAATGGTACAGATTTCCCATTTCCTTTCCTAATAGCAGAGATTTAGGGGTTGCACCCTTCTAGGGTGTACAGAAGAAAGGGGGAATGGGGAGGAGAAGGGAAAAAGCACCACAAGGAAATCCCTGGGAAGAAGCTGCTTCGTCTGGTAGCTCTTCAGCTTCCTGGAAAGGAGGCCCTTGAAAAGGCAACTCCTGGGGGACTTCACTGAGTTGGAAACAACATTGTCCACTAAGAGTTTGGGGGAATTTAAATCTCCATTACCAATCAGCCCAGACAATAGACTGGTCCTCATTGAGAGTGACTGAAAGCTCTTTATTTTAAAAAAACAAGGAGAAGAAGTTTAGCTTTAGGTGTGTGAAAGAACATTTAAATTCCGTCAGCCTGACCACTCTTTGGGATGAAAACGGGGCCCACTTCTCCCCAAAAGTGGATTTATTCCTGTCCATCTAGGTCTCGCAACCACTTTGGGGGCGATAGGAGATGCAAATTCTACTTTCTTTCACAGAAATGCTCTCTGATTAGACGTCTAATATTTCTTTTTTTTAAAAAAATAATAATATTTATTAAATTTCCAAAGATTAAAATACAGTTACAAAAAGAAACATAATACACACAAAAAAAGCAAGAAAAAACACACAAAAAAAGCAAAACAAAAGATATAAACAACCAAAAACAAACATATCAAAATTTCAATACTAATAACAACTTTCCTGCATCGGTATCTCTAGCCTATTTAACCTCTTTACACAAATTCTGCTTCTAAATATCTCTACCTTAAACTTACATCTTTATCTAAATTATCTTGACTTCTATTTACAATTCGATCTCTAATTAGACATCTAATATTTCTTAATTCTTTCTTTTTTTAAAAAAAATCATCCCCTAAAAAGATTTTTCTGGTTCACAACATGCCAAGGGGAGATCCTACCAGTGTTTTTCAACTCGGACACTTGAAGCGGTGTGGACTTCAACTCCCAGAATTCCCCAGCCAGCTGGGCTGAAAAACACTGTCTTAGATTATATAAATAGTCCTCGACGTGCGACCACAATCGAGCCCAAAATTTCTGTTGTGAAGTGAGACATTTCGTAAGTAAATTTTGGTGTCACGTTGTGAGAAAAACTGGGATTTTTTTATGTTGTGGTTGTGACTTGGGAGCTACAGGTAGTCCTCAACTTACGACCGCAACTGAGCCCAAAACTTCTGTTGTTCGGGGAGACATTTGTTAAGCGACTTTTGCCTGATTTTATGACCGTTCTTGCCCCAGTTGTTAAGCGAATCACTGCGGTTGTTAAGTCAGTCTCACGGTTGTTAAGTGAATCTGGCTTCCCCATGGACTTTGCTTGTGGAAGGTCGCAAAAGGGGATCACACTATCCCGGGACACTCTAACCGTCATAAATACGAATCGGTTGTTGAGCGTCTGAATTTTGACCGTGTAACCGTGGGGGATGCTGCAACGGTCACAAAAGTGAGAAAAATGATCATGAGTCGCTTTTTCCAGTGCCGTTGTAGCTTCAAACGGTCATTAAATGAACCGTCGTAAGTCGAGGGCTACCTGTAACATAAGGGGCGATGGTGAGCTTGCGACGGTCACTGGGGTGGTAAGTCTGGTTTGAAGACGAGCCCACTTACCTTGCAGGCCGGCCCCGTTGGCGCTGGTGCAGTTGGGGGGCGGGGAGGTCTGGGGCCGCACGACCGGGGCAAAGGCGCTTTTCTGTTTGACGGCCGAGATCATGTTGACCGGGGAGAAGGAGAAGACGCCGGCGGGGGTGGAGGAAGCCCCCAGGGGTGGGCTCGATGGCATGACTGGCGGAGGGGGAGAGAAGGATACGGGTCAGTAGGGCAGAGAAGGGGGAGTGTCTCGAGTCCCAGGAAGGGAGGAAGGCAGCTGGCTTCCTCCTCCTCCTCTTCCTCCTCTCTGCAAACCCTCCTCCCTTCTAGCACTGATGGTGTTCCCTAGTTGGGCCATGAAATGTCTGCAAGAAAACAACCAAGCTCAGAGAGCCTCAAGGACCCCACAGTCCTCCTCCTCCTCCTGTGGCTCCTTTCCCCTTCCTCCTGCTTTCCTCCTCCTCCTCCTCATTTCCCACTCCCTTCTAGCACTGATGATGTTCCCTAGTTGGGTCATGAAACATCTGCAAGAAAACCACCAAGATCAGAGAACAACAAGGACCCCACTTCATAATCCTCCTCCTCCTCCTCCTCCTCCTCCTCCTCCTCCTCCTCCTCCATCATCATTGTTCTCCACCATTATCCACCAAGGTCTTCTCTGGTGTCCAGTTTTGGGGACAGACTGGATGAGAGAGAGCTAGAATAGAAAATTTTCCAGACCAGGAAGTCTCCCCCCAGATGTTTGGTCTCTCCAGAAGAGATCAACTCCAAATCAGAGGGTTGTTTGTTCCCTTGTATGAGTTGGTGATGGGCATTGAAAGCCAGCTGTGTGACCAGGCATTCTCTCTCATCCCAGCCCACCTCGCAGGTTCGTTGCTGTTGTGGGGTTAATAATAGGAGGAGAACGATGTGTTGGGATAGGTTGGTTGCCTTGAATTATTCGTGAGAAAAATAAACCGACCATCCAGCTCAGAAGATTTTTAGACTCGCAGCCCTCCTTCAGGGACAGAAGAGCCTTGGTGGCGCAGCAGACGAAAGCACTGTTAAGTAACACCAGCTGCTTGCAATTACTGCAGGTTCGAATCTCGCCAAGGCTCAAGGTTGACTCAGCCTTCCATCCTTTCTAAGGTAGGTAAAATGAGGACCCGGATTGTGGGGGCAATAAGCTGACTTTGTATAAATATACAAAAGGATGAAGGCTCTTGCTTAGCACATTGGAAGCCGCCCTGAGTCTCCGGGAAAAGGGCGGCATATAAATCGAACCAATAAATAAATAAATAAATAGATGTTTTTTCACCACCAAGGTCGACATAACCCCGGCTCAGAAAACAAACCCCAAATTTGCGCGCAAGCGTTTGTGTGAATCCACAGCAAGCAATGAATCCATCCGGTGCCCAGTTGTTGGTCCCTATCACACAACAGCCGCGATACTCACTGGCATAGGGGGAATTGGCAGTGGAGCCGTTGAGAAAACTGGGGGAGCCTGGCACCCCAAGACCGGTCATGGCAGCCCCCGCGTAACCGTTCATGCTGGACGTGATTGTGTTGTAGTTATTCTGCTGCGGGGTGGAGCTGGGCACGTAGCCTCGGGGCGAGACGCTGCTTGCGCTGCGCGGGTATCCTGGAAGTCAGACGGAGAGAGAGAGAGAGAGAGAAAATCAAAATACGGGCAGTCCTCCACTTACGACAGTTTGTTTAGTGACCGTTCAAAGTTACAATGGCAGTGAAAAAAAGGGACTTAGGAGCGTGAAAGTTTCCCCTGATCAAAAATTCGGACACTTGGAAAACGACTCGTATTTATGACAGTCACCGCGTCCCGGGGGGGGGAGGGGACGTGATCCACTTTTGCAACCTTCTGACGAGCAAAGTCAAGGGGGGGAGCCAGATTTGCTTAACAACCGTGTGACTAATTTAGCGAATGCAAAGGTTCGCTTAACAACGGTGGCAAGAAAAGTCGTAAAAGGGGGTAAAACCCGCTTCACCCATGTTTCACTGAGCAACATAGATTTTGGGCTCGGATGCGGTCGTAACTCAAGGCCACCTGTACTCTCTGACCCGCAGGGAGCTTGGAGGAAGAGAACCCTAGGCAGATGGCGCTTAGGGCGGACTGGCAAATGGAGCTTCCAGCTTTAGGGGTAGTCTACACCCCCCCTCTCCCCAAATGCCAGATTAGGAGGTTCATGCGATGGGTTTCATCAAGCTGGGATGGGTCCAATGACAGGTGGTCCTCGACTTATGACCGTGACTGAATCAAAAATTTAGGTCATTGCGGTCGTTAAGCGAGATGCCCACGCCACCGCCTCACTGAATGACTGCAATCCTGGATCTCCCTGTTGAAGCCATCGGAGAAGATTGGACATGGCAGTCACGTGATCGTGGCAACCTGACACAACTTTGAACGAGTTGCCGGACACCCAGATCGCCATCTTATGACCGGGAGGAGGAGGGGCACTGCAACAGCCGTAAGTTCGAGTACCTGTCCTACGTTCCTTCATTCAGCAGTCTCGTCATTTTGAACATTCGCGGAATGAAGGGTCGCTAAGTGAGGACTTCCTTGGCCTACCTTGTTCCGAGCCCTGAGTGGACTCGCTGATGTTGATGGCCAGCTGGCTCCCAAAGGAGTTGACCCCCATCATGCCCGAGTGCCCATGGTTCCCAGCTAGGGACGTCAGCTGGTTAGGGTTGCGCGGAACGCTGTACAAGGCTTCGGCAATATCGGCTGCCCGTTTCAAGATGATGTCCTGTTTGGGTGCAAGAGATCAGACCGCGTCATGGTGTGGCCGCTCAGAATACTCCCTTTCCCATTGGCTGGGGATGCTGGGTATTGGAGTCCCATATCTGGGAAAGGGTGCTGCACAATCCTTTCGGGCTCAAGCAAAGGGTCTCGGAGAGCTCGAAGGGTGGCTGGAAAAAAAAAAAAAAGAAATGGGAGATTTCCCAAGGCCCAGCAGCCAAAGGGGGAAGGAGTTTGGACCAGGGAAGAGCCAGGTTCGAATCCTCCCTCAATATGGAAGGACCCTGGGAGAACACCACGATCTGGTAAACCTTCAGCCGCTGAAGGAAAAGCAGGTGTAGCTCTAATGATCCCATAATAAATACGCTAAAAGGCACAATAGGAATTTGGAGCCGCAAAATGTCAGTTTTGGTCTAGTGGTTAAGGCATCTGGTTAGAAAAAAAAGGAGATGGTGAGTTCTAGCCCTGATTTAGCCATGAAAGCCGGCTGGGTGACTTTGGGCCAATCACCAGGAGACGGTGAGTTCTAGTCCTGCCTCAGGCACGAAAGCCAATTAGGTGACTTTGGGCCAATCACCGGGGTCAAGGAGAGGAGCAACCTGGAACTAAGGAGAAACTTCCTAACAATGAGAACAATGAATTAGTGGAACGGCCTGCCACCGGAAGCTGTGGCTGCACCATCACCGGAGGTTTTCCAGAAGAGACTGGACAGCTTTTTGCCTGGAACAGTATAGGGTTTCCTGCTTGAGCAGGGGGTTGGACTAGAAGACCTCCGAGGTCCCTTCCAGCCCAAAGATTCTTCGTTCTAAAGTGGTTGAAAGGAAAAACAGATCAATCTGCTTTTTGGAAATCCCTTTTCCGCCTCCAACGGCGAGTTCGCACTGCCAACCTGACCCACTTTAAACCCAACCCTGCTTAGCATGGGGCACAACCGGGCCATTCCATCTTCTTAAGCGATGGGTGTAACATGTAGCCGGGTCCCAATGCTGGCTTTGCCATCTCCTTGGTGGGCGGCTGAGAATTCGGCCCCACCGCCGCTCACCCCTGAACGGGTGGGGAAGATTTACACCCTGGAAAAGGAAGTCCCGGGGACTTTGGCCCGTAAAACCAGCTCCTCCCACCTGCTTGGCCTGACCTGACGCCTCCTCAGGACCGCAGTTATATCCGCCCAGGTGTTGTGAGACATGACTGAGCTGTGAAAACACTGGCTGGACCTTGGACAGGGGTGAGGAAGCAGGGAGCTGTTCGAAGCCGGTTACTCAATCGCCCTGGAATTCCTGATGACAAACAGATGTTGGCTTGGGAGCCAGATGTTTGTATAGGCCCAAGTCAGAGCAGTGCAAGGTTCTGGGCAGAACTCTCTCTCTTTTTGTGTGTGTGTGTGTGTGTGTGTGTGTGTGTGTTGAGGGTAGCAAGCAAGATCCAAGAAATGGAAATGATTATCTGCACCGATAAACAGCAGGGGTAGGGAGAGGGGAGATATTAGATTTCTGGGAACCTTGGAATCTTGCACCAAAAAATAGGGTCTTCACATCTACAAGGGGGCCTGGTGGCTCAGCAGACTGATAGCATTGTGATTAACACCAGCTGCCTGCAATTACTGTAAGTACGAATCTCACCAGGCTCAAGGTTGACTCAGCCTTCCATCCTTTCTAAGGTGGGTAAAATGAGGACCCAGTTTGTGGGGGCAATAAGCTGACTTTGTATAAAATATACAAAAGTATGAAGGTTATTGCTTAACACATTGTAAGACCGCCCTGAGTCTCCGGAGAAGGGCAGCATATAAATCAAATAAAAAAAAAAAGAAGTCCACAGCTGGATTTGCAAGTTGGGACAGTTTCATGTGTTTGCAGCCAGCTGGAGCTGGGATATGAATCTTCTGCAGAGGGTCCTTGTTCAACCTGAGGACCTCCGGTGTACTACCTGAGACATCGTGGGAATTTGAAGTCCAGCCAAGGTGGAGGGTACCAGGTGGGAAAAGATGAAACTTCTGCATCCCAAGGAGGCATCTTGGTAGCTTTGCCCATTTCACCCAGGTATGATTGCAAAAACTCAAGATAACCTCCAGGTGGCCTTAAAAAGATCCAGAAAAATAATTCCCTCAGAGGTTCTCTGGTTTTTGAAGCCATCTCTGGGGGTCCTACTTACTTCCAACCTTACCTTTACCAGGTATAGCTGAAGAAACCCAGAGACCCTCGAAGTAGATTCTTACTTAACCAGGAAGAATGGTCTAGAAGTTGAGTCACTGCAACCAAATTTCTTTCCTTTTTGGTTGGAAAGCTTCCGCTGCTTATTTGAGTACCTTTTGTGCCTAAAGCAGGATTAGAACTCACCGTCTCCTGGTGAGTAGGCCAAAGTCACCCAGCAGGCTTTCATGCCTAAGGTGGGACTAGAACTCACTGTCTCTCTGGGTGATTGGCCCAAAGTCAGCCAGCAGGCTTTGTGCCTAAGGCAGGACTAGAACTCACCGTCTCCTGGTTATTAGGTCAAAGTCTCCCTGCTAGCTTTGAGTCTAAGGCAGGACTAGAACTCACCGTCTCCTGGTTTTTGGCCTGGCGCTTTCAGCGCTACACCAAACTGGCTCCCTTTGTATGATTTAGGAGCTGCGTGCCATATGGCAAACAAACAAATAAGCAAACAAACAAAGTAAAAAAACAAAACAAAACAAAATAAAAATAAATAAAATAAAATAATAAAATAAATAGATTAATAAAGTAATAAAGTGATAAAACAAAACAAAAACAAAACTAACAAATAAATATAAATAAATAAATAAATAGATTAATAAAGTAATAAAACAAAACAAAACAAAGGAAAACAAAATTAATTAATTAATTAATTAATTAGGTGAGGTGGAATCCCCAGGTATGTGTGTGGACTTGCTAAGTTTGAATCAGAGCCTTGTTTTCCCCATCCAGACCTGGGATGGAATCGTAGCCCTTGATAGATCAGAAGGCAGTGATGGACCACCAAACATCATCAGTGCTTCGGGTGACCAGGCCCATCAATGACCATGGACAACCTTGCCCAGATGTTCACCAGATGTTAAACCAAAGCAGGACGTTGCTGGCCTCTCTCTCAGCGTTCCCCAACGGTGGCGGAGGTGGGGGGGACGAGGGTGGTGAGACTTACTTGGTTATTGTGGGGCATCCCATACAAAGCCTCCACCAGATCGGCTGCTCTTTTCAGCAGGACTTCCTACGGGAAGAGAGACACGGCTGAGATAAATACCTTGCTAACAAACCCTGTGAAAGAAGAACGCTTTTGATGGGAAATAAACCCCGATGGTTGAACAAACTCTAGCTGTGCTCACAATCAAGCTGGTAGGAGACCAGTTTGATCCAATTTAATGAAATCAAATTAATTCAATTAAAGCTTAATTGATCAGCTTAATTACAACCTTAATTACAAGGACAATGAACCAGTGGAACAACCTGCCACCAGAATTTGTGGGTGCTCCATCGCTGGAGGTTTTTAAGACGAGACTGGACAGCCAGTTCTCTGAAATGCTATAGGGTTGTCCAGTTTGAGCAAGTGGTTGGACTAGAAGACCTCCAAGATCCCTTCCAGCTGTATCCTGATTGATTGATTGATTGATTGAGATCAGAATCAAGGCCAATTAAGCTGTAAAGCAGAGGTGTCCAATTTTGGTGAATTTTAAAACCTGTGGACATCAACTCCCAGAATTCCCCAGCCAGCTGGGAGTTAAAATCCACAGGTCGAAAAGCCACCAAAATTGGACACCCCTGCCGTAAAACAGAATTCATGGAACAGTTTGAAATTTAAAAAAAAATCATTAGAGGTTTTGGAGGGTCAGCCGTTCACACAATCTAGCAGGCCACCCTTCTTCCTCTCCTGGAGACCTTCCAGGTGCATTTGTGTTCCCTCTCTGATCTTCCCAGAGTTCCTGGCCAAAATATTTGGCAGGCACCCAGGGGCGGAACGGAAGGGTTCTTTGCAAAGATCGGACAGCTGTGGAGACTGTCCACAATTCGAATGCATTCGGTACATCGCAATGAGGCCAACGCTTGGTGCATTTCGACATGGGACACACACACACACACACCCACAGGGCATCTGCCTACTATTTCGTCCCTTGGCAACTCCATCTGTGGAGATGGGGTCTTTCGTTGGGCCAATCCTGCTGCCAAAACGTTGCCCAGGGTCCTTCTAACCGAAGGAGAACTTCTGCATTCCAAGAATGAGGATAGACTTTGTGGTTTGGGGTGTGGTTGTTAGGATTTGTGGAACACAGCAGCTCATCAAAGCTCCACTTGTATTGTTGTTTTTTTTTCCCGGAGTTTGTCAACGTGGGAGAGAAATTGAATGCATCCGGAGGAGGAGGCTGGGAGGTGTGGACCGAGAAAGGTTGCCAACTATTCTTCCAATTTCAGAGATTGTTCTTGATGTTGTTGTTGTTGTGCAGGGATTGTTGTCTTTGGTTGGATCACAAAGCCATCGCTTTGCTGGGATGGAAACCAACTGAAAAATTGCAGAGGCTGTGCAAATTTTTCTTCCTCCTCCTCCTCCTCCTCTTTCCTCCTCCTCCTTTTTCTTTCTCCTCCTCTTTATCTTCCACTTCCTCCTCCTTCTCCCCTTCCTCTTTCTTCCTCCTTCCTCCTCCTCCACTTCCCCTTCTTCCCCTTCCTCCTTTTCTTTCTCCTCCCCCTCCTCCTCTTCCTCCTCGTCCACTTCCTCTTCTTCCCCTTCCTCCTTTTCTTTCTCCTCCCTCTTCCTCCTCCTCCTCCTCCTCTTCCTCCTCCTTTTCTTTCTCCTCCTCTTCTTCCCCCTCCTTTTCTTCCTCCTCCTCTTTCTCTTCCACTTCCTCCTCCTTCTCCCCCTCCTCTTTTTCCTCCTCCTTTTCCTCCTCCTCCACTTCCCCTTCTTCCCCTTCCTCCTTTTCTTTCTCCTCCCCCTCTTCCTCCTCTTCCTCCTCCTCTGCCTTTTCCTGCTCCTCCTCCTCTTCCTCCTCTTCCTCCTCCTCCTTTTCCTCCTCCTCCTCCCTTCTTCTCCCGCCTCCTCTTCCTCCTCCTCTGCCTTTTCCTGCTGCTCCTTCTCCTCCTCCCCTTTCTCTTCCTCCTCCTCCTCAATCAGGGAGTATAAACTTGTACACTGTCTGAGGGAGATTGGCAGTTGGGAAGTATGAAATATAATTAGATAGATAGATAGATAGATAGATAGATAGATAGATAGATAGATAGATAGATAGACAGACAGACAGACAGACAGACAGACAGACAGACAGAGATGATAGATGATAGACTGAGCTGGGCAAAACTTGGGTCTAATTGCAGATACAGGTAGTCCTCGACTTAACAGCCATTCGTTTAGAGACTCTTTTGACTTTGCTTGTCACAATCACAAATGGTGATCGCACGATCACCCCGGATGCTGTAACAGGCCGACTGCCAAGTGCCCAAATTTTGATCAGGCAACCGCAGAGCTACAACAGTTGTAAGTGTGAAAAACAGGTCATACGTCCCTTATTTCAGTGCCGTTGTAACTTCAAACAGTCACTAAAGAAACGGTTGTAAGTTGAGGACTACCCATACTGGTTGCCAAGTGCACAAATTTTGATCAGGTGACCCTGGGGACGCTACGCCAGTTGCAAAGTGTAAGGAACGGTTGTGTGTCTATGGAGGTTCTCAGTCATCCAGGTTGTGGTTGTCCCAAAGGTGCTATTTTTCAAGAGGCAACTGGACTTTCTGGTTATTCTTTGAAGACATTTCGCTTCTCATCCGAGAAGCTTCTTCAGCTCTGGCTGAATGGTGGGGAATGGAAGGATTTATATTCCTTGCAGTCATCTGGTCGTTAGCACTCTTTCTGTGTCCTCAGGGTCACCTGAGTGGTGCAAATGGGTGTGGGGCCTTCTTGGAACTATTGAAGGAACCATTTTGTAGACAGAAGATTGGTGGAGAAACAAAACAATCACTTCACAGACGCATGACACAACATAGGAGAACTAACCCATCAGGACGAGAGTCAGCAGTCCATCTGCATTTAAAAGACAAAGGCCAGTCTTTTGAAGACAGCAAAGTCCACATTTTGGACAGAGAGGACTGCTGGTTTGAAAGAGGGGTCAAAGAGGCCACCTACGTCAAAATTGTACAGCCCTCTCTCAACAGAGGGGGAGGGATACGACATCATCTACCTCCAATCTACGACACAGCTCCTTTCAGCAATCCTAAGAAGGACTGCCACACCCATTTGCACCACCCAAGTGACCCTGAGGACACAGTCAAACCTCCAAGTGGCCTCAACGACTCTCTAAAAAAGGATGCAAAGGACCAGCTGTCTGCAAGGAATAGAAATCCTTCCATCCCCCACTATCCAGAGTTGAAGAAACTTCTTGGATGAGAAGCGAAATGTTTACGAAGAAAAACCAGTTACCTAAAAAGCACATTTGGGACAACCAGTCGGGTGACCCATTTTTCAGGCTCGTCGTAACTCTGTTGCTAAACAGATGGCTGTAAGCCGAGGACTCCCTGTAACCCTGTTTGGGAGAAGGAACACCATCGCTGACCAAGTCCCTGGCACAGGTTGGAAAGGTTCTGGTCCTCCGCTCGATGCCCACCCACCTACCCACCCACCCTGCCCGCTCCACTTTTCCTTCTCCCGGCTTCCCGACAACCGCGAGACCAACCGGCCAGCTCTCCTGACCGTACATCAGGATCTCAAGGCTATTGGATAGCTGTCAAGCTAAGTGCCAACAATCACGGCCACTTGCTCTTCTGTCTTCGGCAATCTCTCTCCGATCAATACCGTAATGGAGCAGGGAGGGGAGGGAGGCTTCCAGCCGGTTTCGGCACACTGAGCCCCCCCCCTCCCATCCCCATGTGAAGGTGGTGACGCAAAGCAGCCGGTTAACTCTGGCCGGAGATGGTGGGGGAGGGATTGGGGAGGGGGCTTGGGAGGAAACAGCAGCAAGACAATCTCCCCCCTGCCCCTCAAGTTTGCCATTCACTCAGCACCCCACAAAGTCTCAGAGTCAGACTCACCCCCCTTTTTTGGGGGGGGGAGCAGGGATGGAGAGGCTCCGGCGCTTCAAACCCCAGCATGTTTAAGGCAGGTGGGCTTCAACTCTCAGAATCGATAGGGGTTCATTTAATGACTGTGTGACTCACTTAATAAGTGATTTGCTTAAGAACTTAGGGGGGAAAAAAAGTAATAACATTACGGTTAACAAACGCATCGCTTAGTGACGGAAATTTTGGGGGCTAAGGCGAGGAGAACCTATATTTTATCTAAAGTTGGATTTAGGAAACGGGATCAGTTTTCCATCATCCCCTTTCTTTCCCGCTCCCCAGTTTTTTCCTGGCCTCGTGTGAACCTTTTTGTGGGCCCCTATCTGTGCGTTCTGACAGCCTAGCGGTGAAAGCCCCATCGGGGACCACAAAGGAACCTTGACCTCTCATGAGGACTAGAAACTTGGCCTTGCTGTCTGAACGATGCGCCATCCCGCAAGCCGCACATTCCACAAGCAGTCCTCGACTTACGACTTACAAGTGAGCCCAGAATTTACATTGCTAAGTGAGACGTTGGTTAAGTGAGTTTTGCCTCA